TCACGACTCATAGCACTCTAGGTGGCGCTCCCCTCGCCAGCACCCTCTGTGGTCACGCGTCCATCGCTTGTGCCCGCCGCAGCCCCGTTCCCGGCCGGGGGCTGGGGCGGGGGGGGCGGAACGTCGGACACGTCGTACTTGGAGACCATGTAGTACATGCCGTCGGTGCGCTGGTACTCGATGTACGGGCCCAGCCACTTGGGTTTGCGGCCCTCGTCACGCAGCCGCAGGAACTGCGCGTTCCGAGCCTGCTTGAGCTGACGACCTGCCGGGGTGAGGTCATCCCGGAAGGTGATGCCGATGGCCTTAAGGGCCTGGCTGTGTCGGAAAAGCATACCACGGACACGGGGGGTGACGCCGATGGTGATGTTGTATGTTGGGGCCGCCTGGTTGGGTCGTGGCTTCTCAGTGCGTACTTCGACGCTGAGGAAGGAGGCCTGGAGGCTTCCTCCACTGGCATCGGAGACGACTTGGGTGATGGCTTCCGCTGCTTGCTTAGCGGTCGCGAGAGCCAGGACGCCAAACGCGATCAGGGAGCCGGAATCGTAGTAGGCAGATTTGCCGGTCAAGTTCCTACGCTGTTTAGACCCGGTGCAGTCGGTCGCAAACGTAGGGGCCCCCGCGAGCTGAGACTGCACAGTTTCGATGATGAACTGCGCGGCCCGAACTTCGAACTGCTTCATTTCGGTCTCCACCTTTTTGGTAATTATTTCCGGAATATTCTTTTCCAGCGAGTCAACACAAGCAGCCAGCGCATCTGTCTTGCTATGCAAGGAGTCGAAGGACGCCTTGGTCTGTGTAGCATGGGTCTGAAGCAGCTTGTAAATCTCATCTAAAGATGGTTCTTTCTGAGTGGATCGCGTCATGGAGTCGCCTGCTGCCGCCTCCTCAAGGGCAGCGGCCGAAGGCGTAGGGTACTCCTTGCCGGACCTCAGAACCCGCTTAGACGGGCTTTGTGGGCTAATGCCAGCTGTTCTACAGATTCTGGATCGCTGGCAAAGCCAATGCGAGGGGCTTAGCTGTGATGTGC